GAGAAATTAAGGAGTTGATCCCATTTACAATTGCACCCAAAACCATAAGATACCTAGGAATAAATCTAACCAAAGAGGCAAAGGATCTGTACTCAGAAAACTATAAAATACTCATGAAGGAAATGGAGGAAGACACAAAGAAATGGAAAAACATTCCATGCTCATGGATTGGAAGAACAAACATTGTGAAGATGTCAATGCTACCTAGAGCAATCTACACATTCAATGCAATCCCCACCAAAATACCATTCACTTTTTTCAAAGAAATGGAACAAATAATCCTAAAATTTGTATGGAACCAGAAGAGACCCCGAATAGCCAGAGGAATGTTGAAAAAGCAAAGCAAAGCTGGCGGCATCACAATTCCAGACTTCCAGCTCAATTACAAAGCTGTCATCATCAAGACAGTATGGTACTGGCACAAAAACAGACACATAGATCAATGGAACAGAATCGAGAGCCCAGAAATGGACCCTCAACTCTATGGTCAACTCATCTTTGACAAAGCAGGAAAGAATGTCCAATGGCAAAAAAACAGTCTCTTCAACAAATGGTGTTGGGAAAATTGGACAGCCACATGCAGAAGAATGAAAATGGACCATTTCCTTACACCACACACAAAAATAGACTCCAAATGGCTGAAAACCTAAATGTGAGACAGGAGTCCATCAAAATCCTAAAGGAGAACACAGGCAACAACCTCTTCGACCTCAGCCGCAGCAACTTCTTCCTAGAAACATCGCCAAAGGCAAGGGAAGCAAGGGCAACAATGAACTATTGGGATTTCATCAAGATAAAAAGCTTTTGCACAGCAAAAGAAACAGTCCACAAAACCAAAAGACAACCGACAGAATGGGAGAAAATATTTGCAAATGACATATCCGATAAAGGGCTAGTATCCAAAATCTATAAAGAACTTATCAAACTCAACACCCAAAGAACAAATAATCCAATCAAGAAATGGGCAGAAGACATGAACAGACATTTTTCCAAGGAAGACATCCAAATGGCCAACAGACACATGAAAAAGTGCTCAACATCGCTCGGCATCAGGGAACTCCAAATCAAAACCTCAATGAGATACCACCTCACACTCGTCAGAATGGCTAAAATTAACAAGTCAGGAAACGACAGATGTTGGCGGGGATGCGGAGAAAGGGGAACCCTCCTACACTGTTGGTGGGAATGCAAGCCAGTGCAACCACTCTGGAAAACAGTATGGAAGTTCCTCAAAGAGTTGAAATTAGAGCTACCATTCGATCCAGCAATTGCACTACTGGGTATTTACCCCAAAGATACAAATGTAGGGACCCGAAGGGGTACGTGCACCCCAATGTTTATAGCAGCAATGTCCACAATAGCCAAACTGTGGAAAGAGCCAAGATGTCCATCGACAGATGAATGGATAAAGAAGAGTGGTATATATACACAATGGAATATTATGCAGCCATCAAAAGGAATGAGATCTTGCCATTTGCAACGACGTGGATGGAACAGGAGGGTGTTATGCTGAGTGAAATAAGTCAATCAGAGAAAGACATGTATCCTATGACCTCAGTGATATGAGGAATTCTTAATCTCAGGAAACAAACTGAGGGTTGCTGGAGTGCTGGGGGGGTGGGAGGGATGGGGTGGCTGGATGATAGACTTTGGGGAGGGTATGTGCTACGGTGAGCGCTGTGAATTGTACAAGACTGATGAATCACAGATCTGTACCTCTGAAACAAATAATGAAATATATGTTAAGAGAAAAAAAGAAGAAGAAGAAGAGAGCAGGAGGGGAAGAATGAAGGGGTGGAAATCGGAGGGGGAGACGAACCATGAGAGACGATGGACTCTGAGAAACAAACTGAGGGTCCTAGAGGGGAGGGGGTGGGGGGATGGGTTAGCCTGGTGACGGGTATTAAAGAGGGCACGTTCTGCGTGGAGCCCTGGGTGTTATGCACAAACAATGAATCATGGAACACTACATCAAGAACTAATGATGTAATGTATGGTGATTAACATAACAATAGAAAATAAAAAAATTTGCTAACGGGTATTTTATGACACAGGATGTGGTCTAACTTGGTGAATGTTCTATGTGAACTTGAGAAGAATGTGTGTTCTGCAATTGTTGGATGAAGTAGCCTGCAGACATCAATTACATCCCTTTGATTGATGGTGTTGTTGAGTTCTACTGTGTCCTGATTTTCTGCCTGCTGGATCCATCCAGTACTGACGGAGGGTATTAAAGTCTCTAACTGTGGTAATGAATTTGTTCATGCAATTCTATCACTTTTTGCTTCACGTATTTTGATGCTCTATTTTTGGGTGCCTATACATTAAAGATTGTTATGTCTTATTATAGTATTGATCCTTTTATCATTATGTAATGTTCTCTTTATTCCTGGTAGTTTCCTTGCTCTGAAGTCTGCTCTTTCTGAAATCAATGCACGTACTCTTGCTTTCTTTTGATTGGTCTCATGTGACATACTTTCTCCATCCCTGTACTCACAATCTATAAGTGTCTTCATATTTAATGTGGGTTTCTTGTTGAAAATGTACAATTGGGTCTGATTTTTTATCCACCGTACAATTGCTTTTAGTTGGTGTTTTCAGGCTATTGACGTTTTAAGTGATTATTGATACAGTTGGATAAACATCTACACATTTGTTACTGTTTTCTATTTGTTGTCCTTGGTCTTTCTTCCTGTTTTTCCTTCCACTCTTTTTCTGCCTTTTATGGTTTTAATTGAGCATTTCATATGATTTCATTTTCTCTCCTTTTAAAAAATTTTTTAATTTTTTTAAAGATTTTACTTATTTATTTGACAGAGAGAGACACAGCGAGAGAGGGAACACGAGCAGGGGGAGTGGGAGACGGAGAAGCAGGCTCCCTGTGGGGCAGGGAGCCCGATGCGGGGCTCGATCCCAGGACCCTGGGAGCTGAAGGCAGACGCTTAATGACTGAGCCACCCAGGTGCCCCTCCCTTTTTTTTTTTTTTAAAGAGAGAGAGCGTGTGTGAGTGTGGGGGAGGAGTAGAGGGAGAGGGAGAGAGAATCCCAAGCGGACTCTACAGTGCAGCCCATCACGGAGCTCCGAGACCATGACCTGAGCCAAAACCACGAGTTGGATGCGTAACCAACTGAGCCACCCAAGCGCCCCATTTTCTCTCCTCTTTGAGCATAGCAGTTGTACTTCCTTTCATGTATTTTTAGTGGTTACCCTAGAGTTTGCAATAGACGTTTACAACAAATCCAACTGTTTTTCAAGTAACGCCGTACCACCTCACCATAGCACAATATTTTTGTAATAACAAAATGTTCCTAGTTCCTCCCTCCTGGGCCTTGTATCATTGCTGCCATTCATGTCACTTTTCCATGAGCTGTAATCATTGAATACATGGCTGCTGTTATTATTTTAATAGTAATTATTATTGTTCTGTCAGATCAATTGAGAATAACAAAAATATTCTTATGAGAAATAAGAATAAGAAAAATAAATAAGAAAAGTTTTTTTTTTCCTTCATTCATTCCTTCTCTAATGCTCTTCCTTTCTTTATGTGGCTCTGGCCTATATTATTTTCCTTCTCTCTGGAAAACAACATTTCTTAGCAGGTCTACTGGCAAAAAAAATCCCCCCTCCTTTTTTTTTGATCTGATACAGTGTTCTGTAGTCCTGTGATGAGGGCTGAGTCTTTAGTGAGCCTGTGTCCCTGGACTGGGAGCTTCACTAGTACTCCTCCGTCTTTACCCCTTTGGTGGGCAGGATGGCTGGAGGGGCTGGAGCGGGTCAGGCTCTGGGTAACACTTGCTCCTGAGGACAGGCCTTGTTAAGAACAGAATGGTCTGACAACTTTAGGGATGGTCACTTTCCTTTCTTGCCAGAAGCAGGGGGGATTTTCTCCCATATTCATGGTGAGAACCAGGTCAAATTCCTGGAGGTAAGAATGACAAAAACATGCCCCCCCGCCCCCCAAACTGACCCTTCTGGGGTTTTTGACTCAGATTTGTCCACACTGAGCCTTCAGCAGTTCATCAGTTAGAGCTCGAGTTTTTCTCTCCTGGTTTTGGTGTCCGGGGAGGTTTCTGCTTAGGGTTTTTGATCCAGTGAGTTGTGATTCTCTGCATCAGCCTGACTTTCTCTGCGACTGGGGGGGGGGGGGCAGCAGTTTGTCTTGTGACCTCAGTTCTCTGATGGAGCAAAGAAGAGTTGTTGATTTTTCAGTTTTACTTTTTACTTGTTAGGATGGATTGGCAACTTCCAGGCTCCTTCTATGCCTGACCCGAAAACAGAAGTGCAAATTTTCACTTTAAAACGACTATTTTTATGTTCTGTGAAAAAATTCACCTCCATACAGTTTAAAAACACATACTGTGATCTCCGCGGCAACTGGGTGAACCACAGCACTTTCTCCTGGGTCCACAACCGCTGAGGTCCTGGGTCTGCGATGCCTCAGCCCCCGCCTCCCAGCCCCCCTCACATTTGTGGAGACGGTTTTGTACACCTTCCAAGCCTCCTAGTCCCTCCGGGCTCCTACCCCGTAACCACCCAGACAGTTACTGGTTGCCAGCTCATTCTCCTTTGGGGACCAGGGGGCCAGGCTGCCTTGTGTGGGAGCTGGGTTCCTGGAGGTTTGCTCTTACCTGGACGGGAGAACTCCCTGCACTCAGTGCTTCCTGAGACCCACGGGTCCCAGGAGCATGAGATGCTGCATAAGAGGTCGGACGCAGGCAGCCACCAAGCGCGCACAGGCTTGCGGGCATCAGGCAGGATCGCCCGCCCAAGTACTTACTGACTACACAGTGTGTGCTCAGAAAAGTACAGGTTTTGTAGCAAGTTTGGAAGTGGTGCTGCATGGTCGCCCGTGGGGCTGAGTCTGGTTGGAGGGTGTGTGCAGCGGGGGGAGGCGTGCTTGGAGCCCGGGTTGGCTGCCCAGAGAACGCTCAGAGGGCTGGGGTGGTTTTTGTGCAGTGCCCCAGGTGGTCCCCACTCACATCCTGTGCTTGGGTTTCAGCTTCCGAGAATGCCGAATCCAAGCTCACGGGCCTCTCAGGACAGCTCGTGGACACTGCGTGCCAGGTGTGCCGGGCCTACCTGAGGCAGCTGGAGCATGAGGGCATCGACGTCTCTGAGGACTCCACCAGGGGCCTCACGGAAGACGAGTGGAAGGACCTGACAGAGCAGTACTACTCCCTCCTTCAGTAAGACGCGCCTGGTGCTCGGTGGCAAGAGTCAGCACGCACCCTGCTGGCTCACCTAAAGGGGGGATGTGGGGCGGGCATCAGGAGTTGTCTAAGGAAGTCCCACCTCTGGGACGTCTGAAGCACCTGTCTTGGGACTGGGGCATCTGTCTGGGGGTTGGGGTACCCAGATTCACTCACTGGTGCCTGTCCCGCCAAGTCGCTGTTGGCTTACAAAAGGATGACACCGCCTTGGGGGCACCTTTGGGTACCATCTCCTCAAGCACCTTCCACACTCTTCATGTCTTCTACCTCATTTGAACCCCACAGGTGGGCTCCGGATAGTCAGGACCAGCAGAGGCCTTGCCTGGCCCAGCGCTCCTGACTCTCCAGGGCCTTCGGTGCCCCTTGCTGCCTGGGAATCCAAAGGCTGAGCCCGGCTTTCCGCCTTTCCCCCGAGGGCTGGATCCCTCACAGCCTAGAGACCCAGCACCCCCGTTTTTCCTTTTTCAGAAGTCTGACTCTATTGTGCCTAGATGTGGCTTTCTTTGTTATGTCCTCTACCTAGAGATTTTTTAATATGTGGGTTGGAATCTTTCGTCAATTTTGGAAAGTTCTCAGCCACTGTCTTCAAAATATTGCCCTGCTTCGTTCGGCTCCTCTCCTTGGGCCCCAGTTACATGCACAGCCGCCGTGTGACTGTTCCACACGTCTCTTTGCTCTGTCCTGTTTGCCTCGTTCCTTTTTCCTCCCTGAGTCTGAGTTTGTGTATTTTCTATCAACCCATCTTAAGGTTTCCCAGCCTTGTCTTCTGCAGTGTCCAGGCTGATTGTAAACCTGCCCAATTCTAGCTCCAGCGTTGGGATGTCCTTGTACCGCTTGTCCTTGCACTTTACTCTCCGTCAGATTTTTCAGCCTCTTCTTGGTCTCTTTTCGTGTGCTGCACCTTGTCCATAAAGGAAGTACCGACAGAAGTTTATGCTGTTTCCTAAGAGGGGGCTCACACTTCCCTCTGTTGTAGATATAGTGTGTGCAGCTGATGTCCCCAGCCAATTAGCAGGGGGCAGGGCCAGATTGCACCTCTGGGCAGGTTCAGTGCATTCTGGTGTCAAGTGTCTCAGGAGTGAAACTGAAAGATATTGTTGAAGACCCTGTGCCCCAGGAGAGACTTCTCCCCAGGTACCACGGGAATGGGAGGTTTCACTGTCGTTACAGCCCAGACACACCATCTTCGTGCCCTGGGAAAAACTGGCCATGTGTTTTGAGCATTACTAGACTTAGGTCTTTCATGCCAGTTGACATGGCTATGTGGCTTCTCATTCCTTAAGAAAATCCTTCGGCTTATGCCAAGTCTAAATCTCAACCTTCACCCGGATTTGGCAAATATTCTTGGGGAATAAAATGGCCAACAAACTCAGTTCACCCAAGAAAGGCTTTTCTGTGCCTAGATGTAGTTCACCTATTCCTCTTTACATCCACAACCCTCTGATGTTTTGAGAAACATGAATTTTGCAATTTATCTGGTTTTTTTTCCCACTTGTTATAACAGGCATAATGACTAGCCACTACCTACTACTTACGACCTAAATAAGGAAGCATCCTAATTCTTATTAATCATTTTATTTTATCTCCTGTATTTGGTTTCTGGTTACACAATTTTGTTTTTATGTTTCAGGGTTTACCTTAGAGATTACAGTATACATTCTTGATTTATTATTGCTTATCTTCAGTCAGACCTTCACTGGTTCCCAAACAGCATCACAGCAGTGGGATTCCATTCGCTCTCTACTCATTCCTTATACTCTTGTCATTTATTTCACCTCTCTCTATATATTTTCTATTTTTAAGAAGATTTTATTTATTTATTTATTTATTTATTTAGAAAACGTGCAAGTAGGGGGAGGGGCAGAGGGCAAGAGAGAGAAAGAATCCCAAGCAGACTTGGCGCTGAGCCCAGCGCCCGACACAGGGCTCAATCCCACAACCCTGAGATCACAGCCTGAGCCAAAATCAAGAATCAGACACTTAGCCAACTGAGCCCCCAGGCACCCCTTGTTTTCCATTTTTAATTGTCGTAAAATAAACATACAAAATTTGTTGTCTGAACCATTTTAAAATAGTCACCTAAGTACCTCAATAGTGTTGTGCAACCATCAGCACCGTCAATCTAGCTCTTTTCATCCTGTAAAACGGAAACCCTGCCCCCATTAAACGCCAGCTCCACATATTCTCTCCAGCTCTTGGCCCCCACTATCTACTCTCTGTCTCCATGAATTTGTCTCCTCCAGGCGCCTCACAGAAGTGGAATCATACAAGATTTGTCTTTTTGTCACTGGCTTATTTCATTTATAATGTCCTCAAGTTTTATCCATGTTGTAGCAGATATCAGAGTTTCTTTCCTTTTAAAGGATAAATAATATTTTGTTGTATGTATATAGTACACTTTGCTTATTCATTCATCTGTCAATGGACATTTGTGTTGCTTCCACATTTTAGCTCTTGTGAATAATGCTGCTGTAAGCATGGGTGTGATAATATCTCTTTGAGATTCTGCTCTCAATTCTTTTGGGTATGTACCCAGAAATGGAATTTCTGGGTTATATGGTAATGCTATTTTTAATTTTTTGAGGAACTTCTGTACTATTTTCCACAGCAGCTGCACCATTTTACATCCCCACCAACAGTGCACAAGGGTTCCAATTTCTCTACATCCTCACCAACATTTGTTATTTTCTGTGCTTTTAAAAAATAATATCTATTTTCATGGATGTGAGGAGGTATTTTACTATAGTTTTGATTTTCACTTTCCTAATGATTAGTGGTATTGAGCATCTTTTCATGTGCTTATTGGACATCTGTATGTCTTCTTTGGAGAAGTGTCTGTTCACATCTCTTGCCCATTTTTGAATCAAGTTAGCATGTTATTGTTGAGTTTTGGGAGCTCCCTGCACATTCTGGATGTGAGCCCCCATCAGATACATAACTTCCAAATGGTTTCTCTCATTTTATGGGTTTTGCCGTTTTACTCTGTTGATTATATCTTTTGATGCACACATTTAAAAACTTTTCATGAAGTCCAATTTGTCCATTTTTTTCTCTTGTTGCCTGTGCTTTGGTCTCATATCCAAGAAATCATTGAGAAATTCAATGTCTTGAAGATTTTGCCCTATGTTTTCTTCAAGATTTTCACAGTTTTTGGTCTTACATTTAGGTCTTTGATCCATTTTGAGTTAATTTCTGCACATGGTTTTAGGTAAGAACCCAAATTCATTCTTTTGGTTATGGATATCCAGTTTTCCCAGTACCATTTGTTAGAGACTGTCCCTTCCCCCATTGAATAGTATTGGCACCCTTGTCAGAAATCATTTGACTATATATGTGAGGGTTTATTTCTGGGGTCTCTATTCTATTTCATTGCTCTTGTGTCTGTCTTCATGTCAGTAACACACTGTTTTGATTACTGTGGCTTTGTATTAAGTTTTGAAATCAAGAAGTGTGTGTCGTCTAACTTTGTTCTTCTTTTTCAAGATTGTTTTGGCTAGTTGGCGTCCCTTGAGAGTCTATTTGAATTTAAGAATGGGTTTTTCTATTTCTGTGAAAAACATCATTGGGATTTTGAATAGGGATTGTATTGAATTTGTAGGTTTTTTGAGTACTATTAAGATCTTAAACAATATTAAATCTTTTAATCCATAAACATGGATGTGTTTCCATTTATTTATGTCTTCTTTAATTTCTCTCAGCAATTTTTTTTGTAGTTTTTGTTGTACCTTTCACCTCCTTGGTTAATTCCTAAGTATTTTATTATTTTTGATGTGATTCTAAGTGGAATTGCTTTCATAATTTCCTTCTCAGATTGTTCCTTGCTAGTGTATAGATGTGCAACTGATTTTTGTTTGTTGACTTTGTATCTTGCTACTTTGTACTTCACTTATTAGATGTAACATGGTTTTTTGGTGGAATCTTTAGAATTGTCTGCATATACAATCATATCATCTGCAAACAGATAATTTACTTCTCCTTTTCTAGTTTGCCATTTATTTCCTTTCCTTGTCTGATTGCTCTCACTAGCATTTCTATTACTCTGTTGAATGTTGAAAGTAGGCATTCTTGGGCACCTGGGTGGCTCAGTCGGTTAAGCGGCTGTCTTTGGCTCAGGTCATGATCCTGGAGTCCCGGGATCGAGTCCCGCTTCGGGCTCCCCGCTTTGCGGGGAGTCTGCTTCTCCCTCTGACCCTCCCCACTCCCATGTGTGCGCTCTCTCTCTCTCTCTCTCTCATTCTCAGTCTCTCAAAATAAATAAATCAATCTTTAAAAAAATAATAAAAAAAAGAAAGTAGGCGTTCTTGTCTTATTCTTTTTTTTTTCCTTAAGTAGGCTCTACATCCTATGTGGACCCCAGTACAGGACTTGAACTCACAGCCCTGAGATCAAGAATTGTTTGCTTTACTGATTGAGCCACCCTGGCGCACCCCTTGTCTTATTCTTAATCTTAAAGGAAAAACTTCCAGTGTTTCACCATTGAGTATGGCATTTGCTGTAGGTTTTCATATACAGCCTTTATTATGTTGAGGTAGTTTCCTTTTATTCCTAGTTTGTTGAGTGTTTTTATCAGGAAAGGGTGTTCAATTTTGTCAAGTGTCTTTTCTGCATCAATTGAGATGGTCATGTGGGTTTTTTCCCCTTCATCTGGTAATGTGATACATTACATTAATTGGTTTTCAGATGTCGAACCATCCCTGCATTCCTGGAATAAATCCCACCTGGTCATGGACTGCAATCCCTTAACATGCTGCTGAGTCTGGTTTGCTAGCATTTGTTGAGGATTTTTGCATCAATGTTCATAAGGGACATTGGTGTGTAGGTTTCTTTTCTTGCAGTGTCTTTGTCTGGCTTTGGTATCAGGGTAATCCTGGCCTCATAGAATGAGTTAGGAAGTGTTTCCTCATCTTCCATTTTTTGAAAAGTTTGGGAAGGACTCATATGGTTCTTCTCAAATTGTTTGATAGAATTCACCATGGAGCTGTCAGGTCCTGGACTTTTCTTATTTGGGAGATTTTTGATTACTTTAATTACTGATTCAATCCCTTCAGTAGTTATAAATTTATTTATATTTTCTGTTTCTTCACAATTTAGTCTTGGTAGGTTTTGTGTTTCTTGGGAATTTGTCCATTTCATCTAGGTTATCCAATTCATTGGTGTACATCTGTTCATAGTTCTCTCTTATAATCTTTTTTGTTTTTGTAAAATCAGTAATAATGTCACCAATGTTATTTTTTATTTTGATAACTTGAGTATTCTCTCTTTTCTAAGTCCATTGAGCTAAAGGTTTGTCAATTTTGTTGATCTTTTCAAAGAACCAACTTTTAGTTTAATTAATTTTCTCTATTTTGATTAATTCTGCTCTAATCTTTATTGATTACTTTGTTCTACTAGCTTTGGGTCTAGTTTATTTTTTTTTCTAGTTTCTTAAGTTGCAAAGTTAGGTTGTTGATTTGAGATTTTTCTTGTTTTTTTTTAATGTAAGCCTTTATAGCTGTAAGTTTCCCCTTTAGCACAACTAGCAATCCCATATGTTTTAGTATGTCGTGTTTTCATTTTCATTTGTCTCTCAGTATTTTCTAATTTCCCTTGTGATTTCTTCTTTGATCCATTGGTTATTTAAGAATTTGTTAATTTTGTGAGGGTGCCTGGGTGTCTCAGTCTGTTGAGCATCAGAGTCTTGATTTCAGCTCAGGTCTTGATCTCAGGATCAAGAGTTCAAGCCCAGCTTTGGGCTCTACCTGGGGAGCCTACTAAAAATTTTTTTAAAAAAAGAATGTGTTAATGTCCACAAACTTGTTTATCCACTTGATTAGATCTTTTAAAATGCATGTCAATGATGTTTTGTAATTTTCAGTGTTCAAATCTTGCATTTCTTTTGTTAAATGTATTCCTATGTGTTTTATTCTTTTTGATAATATTATAAATGGAATTGTTTTCTTAATTTTGTTTTAGGATTTTTTGTTGGCCGAATATAAAAATATAATAGATTTTTAAAAGATTTTATTTATTTATGTTAGAGAGAGAGAGAGAGCAGCAGGGAGGGGCAGAGAGAGGGAGAAACCCAAGCAGACTCCACACTGAGTGCAGAACCAACACGGGGCTTGATCTCACAACTCTGAAACCAAGAGTCAGATGTTCAACTGACTGTGCCACCCAGGCGCCCCTGTAATTGATTTTTTTATATTGATCTTGTAACTTGACTTTGCTGAACCCATTTATTAGTTCTAGTACTTTGTACTGTGTGTGTGTGTGTGTGTGTTCCTTAGGATTTTCTACATATAGGGTATGTCATCTATGAATAAAAACAATTTCATTTCTTCATGTCCAATTTAAGTTACAGGAACTCAAATTTGCTTTACCATTCAAAAGTTGATCAGTGGGGTATTAGTCATCCTTAAAAAGGAAGTTCATCAATGGATGAACCTTGAGGACATTATAAATGAAAAATACAAATATTGTGTGATTTCACTTATATGAGGTACTTAGAGTGGTCAAAATCACAGAGGCGGAAGGTAGATGATGGTTACCAGGGTCTGGGGGAGGGGATGGGGAGTGAGTGTTTAATGGGGACAGAATTTCAGTTTGGGAAGATGAAAAAGTCCTGGGGGCAGATGGGGGTGATAGTTGCACAACATAAATATTCTTAATACTACTGAACCGTACATTTAAAATGGTTAAGATGGCAAATTTTATGTTATATGTACTTTGCTACAATAAAAAAATTGAAAGAATGTCAATTGGTAGATTTTACCCCATTTACAGAATAAAGAAGAAAACTATATGATCATCTCAATAGATGCAAAACATTGATGAAGTTCCATAATGTGCATGTTACTTTTTTTTTTTAGTGAACTAGAAAAAGAAACTTTAATTGGAAAAGCTTATGTACAAAAATTCTAAAGCTAACACACTTCCTAATGCTATGTAATGAAATTGTTCTCCTTGAAATCAGAATGAGACAAAAATGCCCACTATCATGACCGCTATTCAGTATGGACTGAATGGTCTGTTTAGTTTAAAAGTATAGAACGAAAGAAATAAAAGGCATAAGATCAGAAAGAAGCAAAACTATTTACTGAAAACCTGATTATGCACATAGAAAATTTAAAAAATCATACAGAAAGTTACGTGAGTTTAGTGAGGTCAGTAGGCACCAGGTCAGTATACAAAACTCCGCTGTGTTCCTATACACTAACAAAAATCATAGAATGGAATTCTAAAAATGCAGCCTATAATAACATCAAATAACAACAAATATCCAGAGAAAAATAACAATATAAATTGAAGACCCTAAACAGAACATTATAAAATTAAATAAAAATAGTGACCTAGGGCGCCTGGGTGGCTCAGTTGGTTAAGCGACTGCCTTCGGCTCAGGTCATGATCCCGGAGTCCTGGGATCGAGTCCCACATCAGGCTCCCGGCTCAGCGGGGAGCATGCTTCTCCCTCTGACCTTCTCCCCTCTCATACTGTTTCTCTCTCTCTCTCTCTCAAATAAATAAATAAAATCTTTAAAAAAAATAGTGACCTAATAAGTATGTGTGTGTATAATAAAACCATGTTCATAAATTAGAAAACTCAGTGGTATATTTTTTTTCTTCCCAAACTAATCTAGAGATTCAATGTAATCCCAATCAAAATCTGTGCAGGAATTTTTCTTGGGGGCTTGAGTGGGAGGAATTGACAAACTGATTCTGAAATTTATTTGGAAATACAAATGATTTCAGAAAAGCCAAGACAACCTTGATCAAGAAAAACAAAATTAGAGAATTTCTACCCATATTTCAAGACTTACTACAAATGTACCTAATCCAGACAGGGTGGCATTGGGTTACGGGGCATTACCAGACCAGCGCCATGGAACAGCATCTAGATGCAGATCCTCATGCACATGGTCACTTAGGACCAACCCTTAGGAAGGATTAGTCCTTGCACTAAATGGTGCTTGAGCAGTGAGCATCCTTGTGAACAAAAAAGGTGTATCTTGAATCCTGTCTCCTAAATACATAAAGATTAATTTGAGGTGTATCATGTGATAGGTGAAAGTTACAGAAAAGGAAAACATTGGAGTGTATCTTTGTGACCACAAGGAAGGCAAAGATTTCTTAAATAGTCCACTAAGCATTAACCATAATAGAGCAAGTCTATAAATTGTACTTTATTGACATGAAAACTGTTTATGAAGAAACGCTACACAGAGGATGCAAAGACCAGCCACAGAGTGGAGGCACACACTTATAACACGCATACCCACAGGGTCTCGCGGCATCTCACGGGCTCTCTGGATCTTGCTTTGTAGTGGTGAGGCGTTCATCTCCACTTCGAGAAATCACTTTTCGCAGTGCCAGGCTCTGCTGAATAAAATCACGTCTGTGAACCCTCAGACGGAGATCGACGGGCTTCGGAACATCTGGATCATAAAGCCGGCGGCCAAGTCCCGCGGCCGAGGTGAGTTGGAGGCTGGATGCTGAGAGGTGGCCACCTGCGGCCCCCAGAGCGCAGCATGCGTCTGGGCACAGGTGCATGACTCGGGGCTCTCTGCGGGGCAGGTGGCTCTGAGACACTGGTCTTCATGGCCCACTTCCGAGGTTTGCTAATGAACTGGGATGTTCCCAAGTTAAACTGGGCTGTACTTTTCTTTTTATATTACCTCGCCCAGTCTTGGCAACAGGCTTACCCTAGCTGCTAAGATGGATTGAGGACTTCCATCTCAAGCAACAGCGGAATTCCCGTTCCTTACTCACCTGTAATCACCGGGCTCTCCTGGAGGCCCCTCCTTAAGGCCTGTACCTTTTGTCTGTGGTTTTTGTCTGGTGGGCTCAGGCTTTGTACCTCATCTTGTGTTGTAGCTCAGACAGTGTCCTCTTTATTCTTAATGGTGAAAACTGTGGGTTCTTTTTAAAACAGGGATTTCAAAGTTTTTTAAATCTTATTTGCGTTTCCAAAGAACCAACCTTAGGCTGAATTTTTCCAATTTCTTCTGAGGGATATTATCCCCCTTGGCTCTGACTTTAAGGCTAAGCTTATTTATTTCCAGTCTTTCTCGCACAACAACAAAAGCCTTAAGTCTATGAGCTCTCCTCCCAAGACGGCCCTCACTGCAACACCCGTCTTTGTGTCACATGACGTCGTCCTCACTTTCCTGAGTATCTAAACAGACTTTAATTTTTTTTTTTGTGGATATTTTATTTTCCCCTTGAGTTATTTGAAGAGTTTTGTTGTTGTTTTAAATTCATAAGTGGTTCATTTTTACGTGATTTAAAAAAATGGCCTTCCCCAGCTGTCCTCTGAGTGCCCACCCTCTGGGGTCGGGCCAGGGCTCCTCCAGGGGCTCCATCCTGAGCCTGCTGTTCTTGATAGTAGCATCCGTCTGCAGGTGGCTCCCTCCTCCTGTCCATCAGGCCTGACCTTCCTCCCACTGCAGACACCTGCGTCCCCAGGGATGCCCCACAGAAACCTCAGACCCAGCTGTTCAAATCCAAATGCAGGGCTTTCTGGCTGGGCACTGCCTGGGCCCCTTGCTGCTCTGAGCCCAGGATAACCTCAGAGGTTCGTTGCTTTGCCCTAGTCTTTCATTGCCAGATGGCAAGGTCTCAGCTTACAGTTGAAGAGACTGCACTTACATTTTTGTGGGGAAAGCTCACCTCATGTGTTGCTATGCCTTGTGCCTTGGGGCCTCTGCACATGGTGCTCCCCTCCAGTGATGTGTCAGTCAGGATAGGCCAGATTGTGCTGGGTAACAAGCAGTCCCCAAACTTCAGTGGCTATCAGTGAGACCCATTCATCTCTACTCATGCTCGTCCATTATGGGTTGACATGAGAAGGTAGTTGTGGGCGGTTGGGGTTCTGCTCACCAAAGTCCTCCCATCATCTTGTGACATCACTCCCTCCAGGCTTCAGGGTTGTCATGGCAGAGAAAGAGAGGGCTGGAGGGTCTGGTGGTGACCCAGCAGACGAGAGGGGTGCATGTCCCCTCTACTCAGAGGTCACTGGTCACCATTAGCCACATGGCCTAACTTTGGGGGGTTGAGGATGAGAAGTTGCAAAGTGGAGGAGGACCAGAGTAGGTGTGCAGTCCTGCCGTTTGTCCTCGGGAGGGAGGCCTCACCGGACCGCAGGCCCCTGGACACCTGCCACCCCTGTCTGCTGGTTCCCTGAGGCCCACAGAGCTTCCCCGCCCCCTGTCCACCGCACACCCAGGGCTCGTGCTCAGCCACCCCTCGCTGGCTGCCTGTAAACATACGTCTGTCCCCGTCCCTGCCCCTCTCCATTCTGTGTTCTCTCCTGAATCCTGGGGGCTTGCCCCCTGGTGGGAGAGCCTGGGGGCCTGGCACCAGCTGTGGCCTCCATCCTGAGGGCAAAGCCTTCCCTGCTGGGCCACCCAGGTGTGCTGCCTCCCGGGCCTGGGTCAAAGCCATGCTGGGTCTCAGAGCTGATGCTCGACCCTGCACGCCGTGCCCTGGGGCTCAGTGGTGACTTCTTGCAGACATCGTGTGCATGAACCGAGTGGAGGAGATCCTGGAGCTGGTCGCTGCAGACCACCTCTCTGCCAAGGACAACAAGTGGGTGGTGCAGAAGTACATCGAGACCCCACTGCTCATCTATGACACCAAGTTCGACATCAGGCAGTGGTTCCTGGTCACTGACTGGAACCCCCTGACCATCTGGTTCTATAAGGAGAGCTACCTGCGGTTTTCCACGCAGCGCTTCTCCCTGGAAAATCTGGACAGGTTGGTTGGAGCATCAGCTTGGTGCCACTGGGTGTGAGGGGGCACAGTGTGTGCCCACGACACCTGCGGGAAAGGGGTGGGGTGCCAGGCCATGTCTGCTGTCCCCCATCACCACCGGGGGCACAAATGAGGAGGGAGGCTCGGATAGGTTAAATCCCCAAGGGGCAGGCCCAGGCCTGCTGTTCTTCAAAGCCCATGCTCTGCACCCCATAATGTGTGAATCTCCTCCAGAAGATCCTCAAAGCTCCACGTGCCATGTGCCCACAAGGTGCAGGCATGGCCCGGGGATGACACATCTCAGCGACAGGTCCAGAGCCCCCCCTGTGTGGATGCTGTCCCCTCTGCTGGAAGGGCTGAGTGGAGGCCCTGCTCACACGCTGACCCACAGCTGGCCAAGCTTGGGGTGCATACTTTGCCTGCCGCGCTGTCCTGCTCTCTCTGGGTCCAGCTGGCACACGGGCCCGGACGCCTTTGGAGGCTCCCGGGGGACATCTGCCTTGCCAGCCCCTCAAACCCCCTCCCTAGTCCCTGCAGGGCTTTCTCTTTATGAGCCCCAGAAGTCCTGGGGTGGGGGTCCTGCAGACAGCTGGGGAGGTAGGGGTGTTCAGCCCCTGATGAGGCAGCCTGTGGGGCGTGAGAATGACCTGAGGGGTCCTCTGAGGATCCCAGCTGTGCCAGGCAAGACAAGAAGTGGGGAGCACCTGAGCCAGAAAAGGCCAGGACCGTGTGGGCCGCACCCCAGATCCCAAGGCCCCTGGGGGGCATGGTGCTGGGGAGGGTGCCACATGGAGAGGCTCAGATGTCCCGGAAGAGGGTGCCAGGGGTGGCGGAACCCACACCTCGCCAGGGTCTCTGAGTGGGCAGGACGTGTGTGTGGCAGGATGTGTGTGCAAGGCCCCTCTGCAAAGCCTCAGGAGTGAGGCAGAGAATTCCCCTTGCCTCTGTCCAAACCAGAGGCTTCCCTGTTCTGCCTTGTGACCCCCTCGCTGTGTGGGGCTGGGTGCCTAGGCATCTTGACCAGGAGGTTTACAGGGGAGTCACACAGAATTGAAAGGGCACGGTGGGCATGGGGCCTACTAAAGAAAGGGAGGGGTGCCTGGGTGGCTCAGTTGGTTAGGCATCCGACTCTCCATCTCAGCTCAGAATTGAGAGGGCTGGGAGCTGTTCAGCTGACATGTTAACTGTGCCCCCAGGCTAGGGGCTGTGGCCACACCAAGAGTCGCACCTGGCAAGTGACGCTTGGAGTCACACCGGTCAGGCGGGCTGCTGGGGAGAAGTTCTGTCCCGCAGCTCCTGGAGCGAGTGCGTCTCTGCCAGGCCAGGGGGGCCTGGAGGAGGGGTCGGGCAGCTCACTGTGCACAAGGAGCCCCTTCCAGCCCCCCCGCCCCAGGCCGCCGGCCCCACCAAGCCGTGACGGGGTGCCCAGCAGATCTCTTGCCCCCTCTGAGCTCCATTTCTCTCCATCTGGGATCATAGCCCTCACCCCAGACGGATAGGAGATGCCCTGAAATCGTTTCTGATTGGGCGTGGCCCAGCCTCTGATATACCGGCCCCAATGGGTCCACTGTGGGTCCACTACCCTAATTTCGTGGATCTCAGGTCCCAAGGCCCTTCTGTCCTCTGGAAGTACAACCTCTCCAGGGTTACAGGGACGGGTCTTACTACCCAGAGCCACATGGCTCATCTAGTCCAGTTACCTGTTTCAAAACCTGTTTGGAACAAGGCAAGAGTGTAAATTAATTAGTTTCACAGAGACTCTTTCTCACTTTGTCTCACCAGACCAGCTCTTCAAGAGCCACATCTCTATTGCCAGGTGCAGATGGGGAAACTGAGGCTCTGGGGGGTGTTACTTCCAGAGGACCCAAGCTATCAGAGCCCCTCTTGCAGCCGCCCTGCGGCGGGGTAGGGGGGCGGGGGCGAGAGAGAAGAGTGTCCGGGGGCGGGGTTAGCGGGGGCTTGGGGTTCCGTGGGGGCAGAGGGTCGGCGCGGGTGGGGTCTCGGGGGAGGTGTCTGCGCGGACATCGGGAAAGGTGGAAGCCATAAGGGTTCTGGAGACTGAGTCATGGGGTCCAGGGTCGCGGTCCGGGAGTGGGATTGCGGGCCCCAGCGTGGAGACGGGGTCGCGGGGAGCGGAGGTCCGGGGTCCTGGGGCGGGGGAGGTGGGAGGCGGCCTGGGGGCGGGGTCCGGGGGGGGGGGGGGGGGGGGGGGGTCGGGGGGGGGGTCACGAGTTCAGAGTCCCAGGAACCCCAGGCTGACCGCGGCTTGCCTCGCGCAGCGCCATCCACTTATGCAACAACTCCATCCAGAAGCACCTGAAGAACGACAAGGACCGCAGCCCCCTGCTGCCCTACTACAACATGTGGACCAGCACCAGGTTTCGGGAATACCTGCAGAAGAGGGGCCGCGGGGCCGTGTGGGCCAGCGTCATCTACCCCGCCATGAAGCGGGCCATCGCCAACACCATGAGGGTGGCCCAGGACCACGTGGAACCGCGCAAGAACAGCTTCGAGCTGTACGGGGCCGACTTCATCCTGGGGCGCGACTTCCAGCCCTGGCTGATCGAGATCAACTCCAGCCCCACCATGCACGCGTCCACGCCCGTCACGGCCCAGCTGTGCGCCCAGGTGCAGGAGGACACCATCAAGGTGGTCGTGGACCGCAAGGTCGACCGCAACTGCAACATCGGCAACTTCGAGCTGCTGTGCAGACAGGTGAGGGGCGCAGCGCTGGGGGTGGGGGGGACGCGGCACCTGCTGCCCGCTGTCCGTGGCTGTAGCCACTTCAGGCAAAGGGAGCAGACAGTAACTCGGGTAGCCCCGGGGACTCCCTGGCCCCAGCTGGCCTTCACCACTCTGCTTTTTTCCCTCTCCTCCCTAGCCATCCCCAGCTCTGTGGTCGCCAGGCGAGGAGGCCCCCTGCTTGGAATGGTGGGAGGCCCATGGCCTCCAGGCTCAGAATCTAGACTGTTCCTTTCCAGACCTGCAGTGTCCGCCCTCCTCCCACCTGGGGAAAACCGTGTCCTCCAGGGGTCCCGCCTGGTGCCTGCTCCCTGCTGCGAGCCTTCCTGCAGGCCAGGCAGCAGGGCTGGGTGGTCACTTTGCCAGGGACTCTGGTTCCATGGGGGGATCCTGTGCCCAGGCCTCTCTGGAGGAGGGACCTGGTGGGCAGCCCAGCAGCCACAGGGAAGTGTGGCCTGAGCTTCTCTTGAGACCTGACCGCCAGCGGGCCGGCCCGCAGACCGGCCAGCAGACACAGGAAGGGGGGGAGCACCAGTCCCTGGGCACTAACGCCGCCCTCCTCTGCCTAGCCTGCTGTGGACCTGTCACCCTTCCACGGCTCTGACCTTTGCGTGGAAGGCGTTAGCGTGAGGAGAGCCAAGAAGCAGATGCCGACCATCTCCAACGTGAATTTTTCATCTTCCCTCTTGGACATTCAGCCCCTAAAAGTGAGGTGCCCCTTGGCCATGCCAAACCAGCCTCTAGGACCTCCACACTCGGCTCTCCAGCAAGACTCGAAACTAAAAGATGCAAAGGTACTTCCTTGCACCTTGCCTGTGCCCCTCAGGAGGTCGGCTGAGAGAAGCTGTAAAGTGCAGTCTGCCAACGCCGTGTCTGGCGGGAAGATAGAGTTCCCCACTTGTAATTTTCAACACATAGACAGTAAGGCCCCAAAAACTGGTCTGACCAAAGCCGAGTCCAACAAACACTCGGATCCAGACATACTGAATGAGCACCCACTGCCGTCCGTGCTTCCGAGCGTGAAGACAGTGGAGGGTGCTCTGTTTCAGCCACCCAAACCACCAGGTAACAGTGCGGCTGCTTGCGCCCGTCTGAGCCCTGGGTCTGCTGGGGGCTGCCCGTGGCCCGGGCAGGGAGCGTGTCCTGATGTGGGCACTGGCCTGAGCTCAGAGCAGGGTTTGGGGCACCCTGGCCCCATCCTGGGACTGGCCAGGTTGTTGGGACAGTGGGGCTCCTGCAGCAGGGACCCCTCGCAGGACGGGGTGGGTGACGGCCTCTGTCTCACTCCTTGTGTGGCATAGGGCACATGGGGGATTGAACGTGTCAGGTGCCGTGGACAGGTGCCAGCGATCCCTGGGCTCTTGCCTTTAGTTTTCTGAATTTCCTGGTGGAGTTGACCATGCGTGGCCTGGGAGCCTGACCTGGGCCTGGGCTCAGAGCACAGGTAGACAGGTGTGGGGCAGCCCCGAGGCTCTGGGGGTGGCCTTGCCCTGTCTGTACCTCAGTGCACCTCCAGTGGCGTCTGGCACCCAGCAGTGGCCCCGAGAGTATGTGTGATGAAAAGGCACGAGCCAGGCCACTGCCACACCCCCAGCTGGTTCTGCTCCAGGGACATTTGCTTCCTCAAACACGCCCTACATCTGTACCTGCTGTTCCCTCCACCTGCCTGGGGCTCCGTCCCTTTCTCCCCCACCCTTCCTCCCCCATTCCCTCCCTCTCTCCGCGCCTCCCTCCCTGGCACCAAATCATCTTTGCCCCCCCCCACCTGCTGCTCGTCTGTCTCTCCCAGAGCGTGGGTCCCTAATGGCAGAGTGCTTTCTGCTGTTCTCACGCTTGCCGCAGCGCCTGGGACTGTGCATGGCTCAGAGCCAGGGCTCAGGAAATGTTTGTTGGATGAAGATGCGTGGACTGCCTCCCCAGTTGTGGGCTCCGGGCTTGGGCTCCAGGATCAGAGCTGGCAGTGCCCTCGGAGGACATCCCCAGCCCGTCCTCTCTCCGCGCCTCGCGTCCAGTCCGTCTCGGAGGCTGGTCAGCCCTACCGCTCAGCAGCTTGCCTCTGTGAGGACGATTTCCAGATTTTTTGCTGTTATGAAAACACAGTGTACTTTTCCTACCACACTGTGCAGCTTCCGACAGGCATCCTTCTAGGAGTGAAGTGTTAATGAGGTGCATCAGCCACTGTCACTAAGCAGCACCAACCGGGTGGCTTAAAGACAGAAATGTGTTCTTTCAAAGTTCTGGAGCCCGAAGTCTGGAATCCAGGTGTTGGCAGGGCCATGCTCCCCCAGGCTGTGGGGGAGGAATCCTTTCTTGTCTCTTCCAGCTTCTGGTGGCTGCTGGCTATCCCCTGCGTTCCTTGGCTTGTAGATGTGTCACCGCAGGCCCTGCCCTGTCTTCACATGGTGTTCTTTCTCTGGGTCTCTGTGGCCAAATTTCACTCTTAGAAGGACACCATTGTTAGATTGGCATCCACCCTCCTCCCTCCGGTATGACAGCTTAACTCGATGACATCTGCAATGACTATTTCTAAATAATGTCACATTCACAGATTCCAAGTGGACATGACCTTGTGGGGTGGGGCTCTTGAACCTGGTACACTGAGCCGTAGAAGCCCGGCTAACAGGGCTGCCCTCGGACTGCATCCACCCACTGTTGCCAACACTGGGCGCCGAGAGACATCTTAACGTTTGCCTTTGGAGACAGTGCCACGGTGCTCACTTGCCTTTTCCGCTTTCCAATAAAATGGCCTGTTTTCAGACATGTGTTGGCCATTTACTTTTCCTCTCCTAACAAGTACCCACTCAAGCCTTTTGTGCAATTGTCCTTAGACTCACGGGTCTGTTTCTCTTGGATCGGTAGGAGCGACGTCTGTTCTGGATTCTCCTTTTTCAGTTGACTCTTTTGCAAATACTGTCCCCCACTTTGTGTTGTGTCTTTTTGGTCCTTTATGGTATCCTTTGATGTCAAGCCCCCTTAATTTTAATAAACTTAAACTAGTCAACCTTTTCCTCTATGCTTGGAGATTTTTGTGGCTTCTATCCTTACCCTGAGGTCATGAAAATAATCTCCAGTGGCTTCTTCTGTAAGCACTGCCAAGTTGCTCCTACATATGTCTTTAATGCTCCTGGAATTAATTTGCATGTGATGTGACAGAGGTCCTATGACAGTGTTACAGGGGTACCCAATTGTGGGGAGCCCCTGCCCCACCCACGGCATATATGGTGTCTCTGGACTTCCTGGTCCGCTTTGTCGGTCTGTTCGTCTGCCCTGGCCAATGCCACGATGTCTTCGTCACTGCAGCTCTGTAGGACATCTTTATGCTGTTCAGGCAAGTCCCACAATCTTGTTTTTCTTCCTTGGAAATGACTCGGCTGCTCTTGACCCCTTATGCTTCCATACAGGTTGTAGACCCAGGTTGTCAAGACCCATCAAACAAATTAAAATTAAAAAATTGTTATTGAGGTTAAATTCACGAATCAGTTTGGGGAGAACTGACTTCTTTACATTACTGAGTCTTATAATCTATGAACACGGTATAGCTCTCCATTTACTTATCCTTTATTGTTTTTCAGTAAACTCCTTGACTTTTCTTGGTAATGGTCTTACACTTTTTTTAAAGTTAGATTTAGTCTTATATGTGTTTTATTTTTTATTTTTATTTATTTTTTTAAGATTTTATTTATTTATTTGAGAGAGAGAGAGAGAGAGACAGCATGAGAGGGGAGAAGGTCAGAGGGAGAAGCAGACTCCCTGCTGAGCAGGGAGCCCGATGTGGGACTCGATCCCAGGACTCCGGGATCATGACCTGAGCGGAAGGCAGTCGCCTAACCAACTGAGCCACCCAGGTGCCCTGTGTTTTATTTTTTATTCTATGGTAGTAATATCAAAATTTGTATTTCTTCTACAAATTGTGGCTGGTTGATAGAAATGGAATTGACTTTTGTGGATCGATTTCTTTTTAGTCCAGCCATCTGGTTATTGTTTCTACCAATTCTATTAATATATTTGAAGGTTATTTTGGATTTTTCACATACACAATTATATCGTCTGAAGAGTCTTTTTCCTGCTATATCATTGTACGTTTTGTATCTTTTTCTTACTTTATTACACTGTATAGAACCTTACTTCATTCATTCATTTTTCTCATTTCACTGGATCTCAGGTGCACATACTCTGGTTAGTCATAATCCTTCGTTCATGTAGCATAGTTTCATTGTTTGTCCTTACAAGGCCTGCTGTTATTTAGATAGTTTTAGAAACATAATTAGGGGGCGCCTGGGTGGCTCAATTGGTTGAGTGTCTGCCTTCAGCTCAGGTCGTGATCCCAGGGTCCTGGGATCGAGCCCCACATCCTGCACCCTGTTCCGTGGGGAGTCTGCTTCTCCCTCTGCCCCTCCCCTTGCACATGCCTTCTCTCTCTCTCTCAAATAAAGTCTTTAAAAAAAACATAATTAGAACCAAACAGTGATCTACATCCACCCATCTCTAGCACGACTATCTCCTTGCATCTCCCCGTGAAGTAACCATTATCCTTTTTTTTTCTTAAAGATTTTATTTATTTATTTGACAGAGAGAGAGACAGCGAGAGAGGGAACACAAGCAGGGGGAGTGGGAGAGGGAGAAGCAGGCTTCCCGCGGAGCAGGGAGCCCGATGCGGGGCTCGAACCCAGGACCCTGGCATCATGACTTGAGCCGAAGGCAGACTCTTCACTGACTGAGCCACCCGGAACCCCACAGCGCATTTCTTTGTGAGACTATTTTACAGTGACTCTTCCACTTTCCTGCGATTGTGTATTTAGGTTGTTTCCAGGGTTTGCTGTTGTGAATAGTGCCTCTGTGAACATTCTTGTACATGTCTCTTGTACGTGAGTGAGTGTTTCTTGTGAGTAGATGCTTCAGAATGGAATTGCTAGCTCATGGGATATATGAATGCTCAGTTTTAGGAGGTGTCAACAAACTGTTTTCCAAAGTGCTTTGAAATGATCTCTGCTCTTACCAGGAATGTATGAGAGATCGTGTGAATCTGTGGAATTACCAACATTTTGAGTCATCAGATTTTCTCATTTTCACCCATCAAATGGACGTAAGAAAAGTCTTGTTCTGATCTTGATTTGCATTTCAGTGATTAATTGTGTTAAATATCTCAGTAGGTGTTAATTATGTAAATTCCTCTTCTGGGAAATATCTGTTCATATCTTTTGCCTGTTTTTCTATGGGGTTGTTTATGCTCATAATATCTATTGTGAACAGCTTCTCCCAGTTTGAAACTGTACTTTCAGTTTTTAAAAAGTATCTTTTGATGAAAACTGTGAGTTTTAATGTGGCCAAAGTTATCAGTATTTTTTTTAGTCAGTGCTATTTTTGTTTTAAGAAATTTTTTTAATTGTTTTAAGAAATCAGTGCTATGAGGGACTGGATTACTTGGTCGGTTTTGGTTGCTGGCTTCCAGTTTTCAGCACTAATTACTGGCAGACAGACCTGCCCCTTTTCATCAATGTTTGGGTGATAGATCTTTGTTTTAAATGTGATCTTCGGTGGTTTGAATGGGTACTCTGCTGGAAAGTTTATTTCGATTCTGAAAGCCCCCTTATCATATGGAGGGTTGTCAGGAACAATAAGCCCTTGCCAAGTCAATAAATTAGCTTCATCACCTGGATGTTATGGAAGTTTTTCATTCCACATTTGCGGATTTCTTCAAGCTCCTTCATCAGCCTCCTGCTGGCCGCCATCTTGGATCTGGTGCTGCTGCTTTCCGCAACTCACGTTTTTATTTAAATTTTCTATACTGCCACACTTCTAAACTCATTATTTCTAAAAAGTTGTATGTATATTCTTCTGAATTTTCTATGTGAGTAATTCCATATCATGTGCAAATAGCTTTATGTCTTCCGTTCCAATCTTGTTGTCTGTAATTTCTTTGTCTTGTCATATTGTACTGGCTGGAACGTCCTATAAAGTGCTGGGTATTATTGTTGAGTTCCCGATTTTTAAGGGAATGTTCTTAGCATTTCCTCATTTATAATGACATTTTTCTAGGTCTTTATAAAGTTATAGATATGATAAAAATATAAATGTATAGACACTCTAGCATGTTAAAGAAGTTTCTTTCTAATTATTACCAAGAATTTGTATTGTATGTAGTGAATTTTCTCAAAAAACTTTTTTTGCATCTAGAGATTATCATAAGCTTTTTCTCCTTTGTACTATTAAAGTGATGAATAATATCAATTGATTTTTTAAGTTGGTTTGATGTTAGGTTTGACATATGGCTAGATTTTGTTTCTTACATGTAGTTGAAATTCATTCTCAACCATAATTTATTCATACTACTATTTATAGACATTTACATTGTTTCTAGGTCAGATTATTACAAATAGTGCTGCTATGAATGCTCTTGAATTTGGTGAAATACATAGACTGGGGGCGCCTGGGTGGCTCAGGAGGTTGAGCGTCTGGTTCTTGATTTCAGCTCAGATCATGATCTCGGGGTCGTGGGATCAAGCCCTGCATTGGGCTCCCTGCTCAGCAGGGAGTCTGCTTGTCTCCCTCTCCCTGTACTCCTCCCCACCCCCCGCTTTTGCTCTCTCTCTCTCTAAAATAAGTCTTCAAAAAAGAAAACAGAACCCTACGTACACTGTTCTGTGCTGAGTCATGCACTCAGCTTTGGCAGGCCCTCCTAAGGAATTTCCCCAAGTGAATGTGCCAGGTTACATCCCACCACGACGTGAGTGAGTTCCAATTGCTCCGGACTCTTGCCAACCCTAGCTACCCCTCTCTTCTTATTTTGGCCATTCTGGTAGACGAGCAGTGGCCTCACATTATAGCTTCAATTGCATTTCCTTGATGACTAATGAAGTTCAGCTCCTTTATTTATGTTCCATTTGAACGTACTCTTATACAGTTCCAATTTTTGCATTTGGATAAATTTTTTTTTGTTGGCCTATTCCTATTGGCTTATAGGGGTTCTCTAGATATTCTGGATTTGAGTCCCTTAGCAAGTACATCTATTAAAAATATCTTCTCTTGGGGCACCTGGCTGGCTCAGTCTGTGAAGCATGTGACTCTTGATCTCAGGGTTGAAGTTCAAGCCCCATGTTGGGGGATAGAGATTACTTAAAGAAAATAAAATCTTAAATATATATATACAATATAATATATCTTATCTCATTCTATGATTTGCTTTTCATTCTCTTCATAATATTTTGATGTATATCAATTATTAATTTCAGTATATTCCAGTATTAATTTTTCCTTTATGATTAGCACCTTTTGTTTTCTGTTTGAGAAATCCTTGCCTACCCCAAAGTCATAAAAATAGTCACTTCTGGGGGTGCCTGGGGGGCTCAGATGGTTAAGCATCTGCCTTCAGCTCAGGTCATGGTCCCAGGGTGCCGGGATCAAGCCCCGCATCGGGCTCCCTGCTCAGCGGGGAGCCTGCTTCTCCCTCTGCCTCTGCCATTCCCCACCCCCACCCCACCCCCACTTGTGTGTGCTCTCTCTCTCTCTCAAATAAATAAATAAATAAATAAATAAAATCTTTAAAAAAAATAGTCACTTCTGTTTTCTTCTGAAAATTGTATTGTTACACGTTTCACATTTAGATCTGTATTCCATCTGGAATTGTTTTAGTGTGTGCTGTGATGTGTAGGGGTCAATAATCCTTATTTTTTCAGTATGGATATTCAACCAACGCAGTTGGTATATTAAAGACACTGTCCCTCCCAAAACAGATGACTGTGTTGTGTGT